TTTTTTCTGCTAAAGAGATAGAGTGTATTCGATTAAGAATGTCCACGATTTAGCTTTCCCTGATTCCATATATACACATTTGATGTTGCCTTTTTTTGCCTTTTTTAAGATATATGCCTTTTTTTGCCTTTTCTACCTTTAAAAAAGTGATTATAGCATTTAAAATTTTTTTTTTTAAGATTAAAAAATATACACATGCCCATGCGGCTTATAGAAGCGCAGGGACCTCTTGCCAAATTGGTGTTGGAAAAATTCAAAGCCGTTTTCTCAGCTAACGTAGGCTTGGAGACAATAAGGGGTGTGGATAAAATTGTAAAGGGCGAGGAAAACGCCCTTATTGCTGATAATATGAACATTTCAAACGTTTTAAGTTGGGCTCCACTTGTATCAACTTCCGTCGAGCGCACATTTAGTACATTCAAGGCTTTTCTTCGCGAAAATCGAATGAAAATAATGCCAGAAAACTTCAAAATGCATTTTGTGGTTCAATGTTACTACAACTATACAGATTAAAGTTTTATGAGTTAGAAACTCGAAAGGATAAAATAGTCAAAGATTCAAAGTACAAATTTTTCATATAATGAAACTAGTTCATAGTTTTTCTCTTTTTTACTTGTAATATAAACATTTCTAAAAGAAATGTATTTTTTGATTATTTTTCGTATTTTCTGTCGTTTTTTAGTGCCTCATTTTGCTTTTTTTGCAATACCTAGTGCCTTTTCCTGCCTTTTTCGCTATTTTGTTTTGCCTTTGTTTGCCTTTTTTGCAATACCTAGTGCCATTTCCTGCCTTTTCGCAATTTTATTTTGCCTTTTCCAGCCTATCTCGTTATTTTATTTTGCCTTTTTTATAGGTTTTTAGGTCCTAAAAATCCGTTCCCTGCTCATAACCAATATACATATCGCACACCGTCTTCAAAAGAGTCACAACTCAAAATAATACGTTCGTCAGAAAATGCGAAAAACTATTTCGTAGCACATAATCATATGAGCAGTAGTGACTTTACCTTAGGTTTTTTTAACATACTATAACAAAAATTTGCTTCAGCTTTTGCTGAAAGGTAAATAAAAGCTCTGTGTATATTTTTAGCGCATAATTTCAAAAATGCCAAATTTTGAGTTGTGACTCTTATGAAGACGGTGTGCGATATGTACATATATACTTCTGCTTTTGCTTAAGGTTATATTTTTTCTTTTTTCTATCTTATTACATTTATGTTATTCTAATAAAAAAAATTTATAAATATCGATAACAAAAACGATAAATATCGATAACAAAATAGATAAATATCGATAGAAAAATTGATAAATATCGATAACAAAATTGATAAATATCGATAACAAAATCGTTAAATGTCGATAACAAAATCGATAAATATCGATAAAAAATTCGACAAAAATATCAACAACAATGTCTATAACAAAATCGATAAAAATATTAATAAAAATATCTATAAAAATATCGATAACAAAATTGATAAATATCGATAACAAAATCGATAAATATCGAAAACAAGATCGATAACCAAATCGATAAATATCGAAAACAAAATCAAAAAAAATATCGATAACAAAATCGATAAAAATATCGATAACAAAATCGATCAAAAATATCGCTTACAAAATCGTTAAAAAAAATCTATAACACATCGATAAAAATATCGATTATTATATCCATAAGTTCCGAAAATATCGATAGCAAAATTGATAACAATATCAATAAAAGTTTCGATAAAAAAATCGAAAAAAAAACCGATAAAAATATCGATTATTTTATCGATAAGTCCCAAGAATGCCGAAAATCTCTAAAATCCCAAAATAGTTCCCAGATTGAGTCTCTGTGCCTCTCTCTATATCCTTTCCTCTTTAATTATCTTTATTTTAATCTTTCTTCCCCTATCCTCATCTTTACTTTTATCGGTATCCTCATCCTCCTCTTTGTCTTTACTTTTACGGTTATCATTTTCTTCATCTGCATATTCCCCTTCACCTTTGCCCTTCTTCTTCATTTTTGCCTTTACCTTTACGCGTCTTTGTTTTTGTTTTTATTTTTACCTTTGCCTTTCTCCTTTTCTTTATCTATGTACGTAGTCACACCATTTCCGTGTGCAATTTCCTTTGAATTTGCCAATTTACTCCCAACAACAAATTTACTCGCTCATACAAAAAAAAATTATGAATATTTATTTTAATAAAAGTCCGTATGTTCATCCCATTTTTTAAACATATTGATTGTGTAGAGAATTAAACAAGGAATACGTTGGTGTTATTTTAAACTTAAAAAGTTGGTGTAAACACTGTGAGAATAAACTTAAAAAAATGCATCTGTTTAGAAAAAATAAAATTTAACGGTAAAAATTTAAATGCGTACTAAAATATATTCTTTAGCTTTCAAATGGGGTTAAGATGAAATCTCTACGATGAGTAGAAGCCGGGATATACCGATTTGAATTAGTCTATGATTTGCCTGGTTGAGGAAAAATCCAAATAAATCCTGGGATACCAGTCAAATAGTTTTATGTAAAGAACCCGTAAACCGAGGTTGAGCCAAATCGGAAGCGTGGTGTCAAATTGGGTGTTCGACTTGAAAAAGGACACCCCCTTTCGAAAGCTTCGAAAGGTAATTCAAACCAAAGATATGTGTATGGTATATATGTATGTAGTACTTTTAGGGACTATGTTAGTTCCAAGGCGAATTCATACAAGGCGGCGTTACCAGAGCATCTGGGATGTTGAACCCCCAAAAACCCCTATCTACGTTCGCCCCTGAGTTAATACATAATTTCTTGAAATTAATGTAAATTGTTGTCTCATGTTTCATTCATTTAATGATTTGCAGGGTAAAATTTTGCGAATTACAATACTAAAACAGCCTATTTCTTATCAAATGCATTTGCAAAGCTTTTTCTTTTATCAAACCAGCCTTGAGCTTATCAAATCTCTTAATCGATTGTGATCCTGCATACGTGTGTAATGAATGAAAAAAAATGAATTTATAGCTTTTAAAAAATTTTACTCAAATGCCTTATATGAAAGGAAAATTTAAGTTACAGACTTTATATAAAACCTAGCAGGCCCGGCGAACTTCGTCCCGCCCAAAATTAATTTTTTGTATTGAAACATTTTGGTCCAACATTTTCACCAACAGTTCACGTTCATGATTCTCAGTGACGCATTTATCTTCTAATATTACGGTTTGGTGGTTGTCAGAAGGCATATTTCCATTGCCATCTTAAATAACCTAGAACAAGTGTATATGCATACAAAGATACGTAATACCTTCAGTGCGTTTGAAAGGCGCCACGCCCCTTATAAAATAGCCGCAATTTTCTCTAAGAGTATGGGATTGGTTTCATATTATCTCCATATCATGTTCGAGTACTCTAACATGAACACTTCCAGAAATATGCAGTATGAAAAAGCCGGTTTGTATGAGAGGTGCACGCTCTTTTTCAATTGCCCCAATTTTTCTTCATGACTATGCGATTGATTATATATATTTTTATATATTAGATTTTTCATACCAATTTACTAAAAATTCTAAAATAAAAAAATTGAGACAATTGTTTTAGGATAGGGTGTCCCTATCGCCAAATTCCAGTACTCTATCGTGAACACTGGCAGAGTTATGCAGTAAGAAAAATTCGGTTTGTATGGGAGGTGCCACGCCCCCTTTTCCAATAATCGCAATTTTTCTCCATGAGTATGCGGTTGCTTGCATTTATCTCCATACCATGTTCGAGTCCTCTTCCATGAACATTTTTCGGGATATGCAGAATGAAATATTCGGTTTGTATAGCATGTGCCACGCCCCTTTTTCTAATAGCCCCAATTTTTCTTTATGACCATGTGATTGATTTCATATATCTCCATACCAAGCTCTAGTACTCTACCACGAACACTTCCAGAGATATGCAGTATGAAAAATTCGGTTTGTATGGGAGGCGCCACGCCCCCTTTTCCAAAAACGACAATTTTTCTCCATGAGTATGCGATTGTTTTCGTATATTTCCATGCCATGTTCGAGTAGTCTACCATGAACACTTTCAGAGATATGCAGTGTGGAAAATTCGGTTTGTATGGGAGGTGCCACGCCCCCTGCACCTAGCGGTATGAAATATACTTTACATCCGATTCTCATACCTACCATATATGCACAAAAAATTTCATAAAGATCGGTCAAGCCGTTTATGAGGAGTTCGACCACTAACACCGTGACACGAGATTTTTAAATATTGAATAGGTCTATAAAATCAAAAATACATCCAATAGCTGCGCTAGTAGGCTTACATTTTTTTTAATAGACAAGGCGAACTCATATAAGTTGGTGTGGGTTCATCAGCTGTAATTAGCGTGTGATTGTCAAAATTTTGTATTTCGCTAATGACTGAGTGAAAACGTGATAGTGTTTATTTTTTCTGTCGCCCTTTTTCCTTCGCGGAAGTATAGCTGAAATTTAACAATGACTCGCTAAAACAAAATACAAAATACAAGTAATTGTTGTATTTGTTGAATCGATGCCACCTTATATAAATTCGATTTGGTAATAGAGTTCTCCGTAACATAGGGTGGCAAACTTTTTTTTTGGTCTGACACTTTTTCTGATTTTAAGTCGGTTGCATTCGAAACTTTTTAAGAAATAAGATGTTTTTTAATTTTCTGCAAGTTTTTTTCTATTGTGACCAAACCAATCAGATGTAAAAGCGATAGAGTGAGAAATATAACTATTCGATGCACATATGTTATGTTACGTGTCGCAACTATGGGTTTTCATATTTTCACCGATATCTCAGAACCTAGGCCAGACCCAGAAAGTTCTACGCTAGAAAAGTTTTATTTCATTCTTGGTGATTTTTTTTGTCGAGTACCTAGTGTTATTTGTCAAACAACCAAGTCCGATAAACGCGGAAATGATTTCCAATTCTGATAAAGAATTACCAAAACCGCAACGATGCTCATCATGCTGGGCAAATGTAAACATTTACATACAAAGATATTTACCTGACGGAGTTTTATTTCCTTGCCGATTTGGTGTGTGCGCATCATAACAGCAAAAATATGAATGCCCTGGGGCGGAAAGGCATAAGCGGTGCAGTCCTCAATACATTGTCCCACAGAGATTACCTCCTTTTGTCCCGGAGGAATTATGTGCCGCCAATTTGGATCCATACCTGCAAATAGTATAATACGTAAGTAAATATGTGTTTAACGTTCATACGTTTTGTTAAAGCAGGGATCACACGATTTGTACATTTGTAAAGATTTGTACATTTCGGCAGTTACAGAGTAGTGTTGTTTAGAAATCTGAGTTCAGCTCAATAAAAGACTTTCCATACAATACCAATCTGTAACTCTCAAAATGTACAAATGAATAAATCGTGTGATCCCTGCTTAAGGAACTAGCCATTTTGCGCAAATGAGTAACTGTTATTACACTGGTTAACAGTGGTTTTGGTGCCAAGGAGCTATGCTTTTTATACCCGAGCGCACTTGTTCACAAAGGTATTATAACATTGTTCACATAATGGTTGTTTGTAACAGCCAAAACGAATCGAGATAGATATAGACAAATGTATACATAAATAATCAGAATGAAAAGAGAAGTCGATGAAGCCATGTCTGTCTCTCCGTCCGTTCGTCCGTGTACACGATAAATTGAGCAAAAATTTAGATATCTCAACGAATTTTGGTATGTATATTGCCCTTTACCCAAGGTAGGTTGGTATTGAAAATGGAATAGTTGGAAATACGAAAACTGCGATAACTACTGTAGTTTATTCGCTGAAAGTTGATATTTAAAATGATTTTTAAACGCAATATAAGAATATTATAAATTTTTGGAAAATGGACTTAGCCACGCCCACTTATGATAACATGTGCATATATTGGTAACCGATACACTAATTTCTCCCAAACTTGGCACAATTGTTAGCCTTATTACAACATAGCAAACGGTTAAACGAATTTTTAAAATCGGACAATAACCACGCCCACATCCCATATAACGGTAATTTAGAGAAATACGAAATCTTCGATAAATCATTAAGTGTACAGAAGCAAATTTATTCAAAATTGACGTTTGCAATAACTCTTAAACAAAAAACACGGTTATAATAAAACTTTGGAAAAAGGGTGTGGCACTGCCCACTTATGACCAGGTATTATGTGTATCTCGGTAACCGTTCGACCAATTTGTACCAAACTTGGTATGATTATTTCGCTTACCACATAAAAGCAAAACGGTAAAAATTATTGAAATCGGACTAAAATTACTCCCACTGTTCATATAACGGTCAATTAAGGACGCTAATTTACTCAAAATTGATTCTAACAACAATCCCTTGAAATAAGTAACATTATTATAGAAGTTTGGATAGTGGGCGTGATACCGCCCACATGTATCCATAAAAGTTTTTCTCATTAAGTATAACTCAAAATTGTTAGAAATAGGGGTAAACCACTCTTTTTACCATGTAGTTCTCAGAAAGGTGAAAAACTATATTTAATACTTGCGCCGGGTATTTAATGTTTGAACATGAACTTATACCTTCTTCCTTGTTTCTAACTTAGGACCTTATACTGATCAAATAAATAGAAAATTCCGTATTTCCTACGCACAGTTTTCTAGATTTTAACTTGAAGAGAAAAACACAAGTTTGTATTTATTAGATACGTTATAATGTGCAAAAAAACTAATTTTTGCGATTTTCCAAAAAAATCAGTACCTACAAGTGCGCTGCTTTGTGTTAAAGAATTTCTACAATTTTATGATTTATTTTTACAGTTACTTTTAGTGTTTGTGTTAAAGGGGCCTAGGCGTAAAATAAACCAGTTTAAGCTGTAAAAATTTTAATCTAGAAGGAAACTATATTTTTCTATAAAGTCTAGACCGATTATAAATACCATGGGAAAGGTATTTCCCACAATTTGAAAATTATGATGGTATGTAAATAAGAATTGCTTGGGGGAAACTTTCCTATAAGAGCGGTCGTTGAAGCGACGGTGGGCGAAGGTGGGATGGGCGTGGCACCTCCAACCCACCTTTGTGGAGAAGGCATGAACCGCCATTGAAAAAGGCCCTCTATTGTCAAAAGTGTATAACATTTCTTGTGAATATAACTCCGATATTCCTGGTTGATCTGTCAAACAATCAATTTACGCATCTTTTCACAAAGGGGGCGTTCCCATAAAAGCCTCGTAAATTTATGAGTTTTACATAGTTTAAGACTTTACGAATTTAAGCGAATCGCCTAAGTGTAGTGCAGGCATTCATATCGCTGGCTTAGAGTGAAAAGTTGCTAAGACCATTTGTGGAAAATTTACAAGGAAGGGAAAAAACTTTTCAAAACATTTCCTTCAAGAATTTTTGCAGAAGGTTCCGTTGCAAATTAAAGGGTTTAGGGCCGTTTTCTGAAGGATCCTTTAACTTTAAAGCTCACTTTATATTTAAAGGTTAGATTAACAAGTAAGAAAGTCTAAGTTCGGGCGGAGCCGAACATTAAATACCCGGCGCAAGTATTAAATATATGTTTTTTCACCTTTCCGAAACCTTCCGCTAGATGGTAAGCCGGGGTGTATCAATTTTGAGTAAATAAGCGTACTTCAATTTCGAAATATTGAAGTTTCAAGCATTTCTGAAATTTACCGTTATATGAGAAGCGGCCATTATTTTAGTCCGATTTCAATAATTTTCAACGTTTTGCTTATATGTGGCAAGCACAATAACCACACCGAGTTTGGTACAAATTGGTAGAACGGTTACCGATATACCTATATGTGATCATAAGTGGGCGGTGCCATGCCCATTTTCCAAAATTTTACCATAAACGTATTTCTTGGTAAAGAATTGTTACAAGCATCAATTTTGAATAAATTAGCTTTAATATTTACTGATTTATCGAAGATTTTGTATTTCTCTAAATTACCGTTATATGGGATGTGGGCGTGGTTATTCTCCGATTTTCAAAATATTCGGCCATTTCGTATGTTATATCAAGGCCAACAACTGTGCCAAGTTTGGAAGAAATTGGTGCAGCGGTTACCAAGATATGCACATGTAACCATAAGTGGGCGTGGCTACGCCCATTTTCCGAAAATGTATAATATTCTTATTTTTCGTCTAAAAGTTATTGTAAATATCAATTTTGAGTGAATTATCTTCAGTAGTTACTAAAATATCGCAGTTTTCGTA